GCCCACCCGGGGACCCACCATATACACGCGCACAAACAAGGTCACTTGCGGGTAGACTGCACGGCTTGACCACAGAAAATGTATACAATACACCTCCTTAGTCCACAGACATGGCATGGCAAGACTGTGTTCATGTGGATCAGTGTTGTGTATCCTCAAACCGTGGCGCTAAATATTTGGGACCCCTTACTGTAAGTGTGTTAGTAAATGGGCTTTGTGCGTCGGAGGGTTAAATGCTCCTGCTATTAGATATTATAATAAGGGACGCCAGAGCAAGCGTCTCATTGGTCAACGTGTTTGGAAGCAGGTGCGCGTGTTTTACGTTGAGTAAACAACGTGGCGTGCGCGTAGAGGGTACGCACACTGCTATTTCCGGGCTTGTTGGTACATTACTTGGACAGCTTGACGCCAACGAGCTTGTTGGACCATGTTTGGACCTGCAGGAATTCGGTTGCTGCATGGTACGTTGCAGGCATGGATTGACTTTGAAGACGTGTGGACGCCAAGATTATCGGAATCATGGGAGAATGTATTGACTGGACAGTCTGTGGTCATTGAGGAAAAAGCTGTGATGGTTATCCTGTCCCGGTGACGATCACTTGGTGCGGTATCCAAACAGGACGATGTCGTGTTTAGTCTTCCATGTCGTTGGGGTCGTGATTGAAGCAGCAGCTGCCACTAGAAACAAAACAGGTAGGTCAAACATGTCAACAAAAAGGTGCAGAAACTTACTTTTATGTAGTACTAGTACAAGAGCACTAGGGCAAAATATAAAAAAAAACATGTTTAGCGTCCTGCCTCTTTGACAAAAAGGAAGGAGGAGGCCCTTTTTTGTTTTTTTTTCTTTTCAAAATGGCCGCCCGACACATTTTTCAAGACAACGCGGCCGGGCTATTTTTCAAGATGGTTACCAGCTTTTTTCAAAATGGCCGCCACTTGGACTCAGGAGATGACATATTGGCTTCTTATGGGCAAGATGCAACAGAAAATGAGACCAAAATGATTCAACTATGCAGAACCGAACATCTCTTCTGCGCAATTGCACCATATTTAAAAAAAAAAAAAAAAAAGGAGGCGGCCTCTAAAAAGGAAGCGGGCGGGGACGCTAAACAGGTTTTTTTTTTACTTCGCCTAGTACAAGTAGTAGGCCTAGGCCTACAGTACGCGAAAAAAAGAGAAATGATTGAAAAAGTGTTGCATCCTGAGGCTATTTTTTCATAGCCTATAATTATAAAGTCGATCATATTACAAACATGTTGAAAATGAAAAAACATAATATATTTAAAGCATTATGCAAATTGCAATGATTGACTTTCGTAAAAAGTATTGTCAGAATGCAACAATCTTTTCAATGCGCCTATGGTGTATTATCCCTCAAGATTTTGTCCATCTACTGCTTAGAAAAAAAACCTTGGAGGTGGACAACATGTTGTAACCCGATGCCAATTTTTCTTCATAATATTATCTCAATAAAGGTCAGTCATTGTAAAAATGTTAAAAAGACATGGATTTTGGGCTAAGAAATTTTCCAATTTGAAGTGGGCCTAGTTTAAAGAATGTTCTTGATTCTCCATAGACTTGGTGCACAACCATGACAACTGCTGAAGTGGCTTCAGAACACAGGTTGCAACGTTTTATTTCCCATGCCACTTCTATGGTAGTCTAGTAATATAATTCGCTGTGGTCTATTTTGCACAGATTAGCTGATTAATTAGGCAAGAACCCGCCTCTTGACTTCCTAGATTTTGACCAATCGACATGCGCTTTCTATATATAGGTCTATAGGGTCTTCGGTCATTTTACCCGTTGCAAGTCATAGACATGGATTTAAAAAAAATGTCACGGCGCGCACAGTGTTAGTCCTGATTTTGGGATGAAATGACGTAACGATTTAATAAAGTCAACTCCGATTTGTTGGCACGCGCGGCTTGCATAAATCTGCATGCTTTGACATACCAGACGTTAGACAGGAGATGGCTCCCTTGGATAACGGGTAATACTCAAACTACTTCTGTGGAGAGTCAAGAAAATAATTAGTATTTTCCCTAATAAAATGGGAAATGTTCTTTTTCTGACCAATATTGAGATATAGCTGTGTAGATATAAAGAAAAAAAGTGGTGTTGGTAACTCGGGTTACAACATTTTTTACTAAGTTAAATAAAGTTCCAGGTGATTGTCCCTGCCCACTTTCCTTTTTGTGGCTACATCAAGTTTTTCAATTTTTCACATTTCAGGCATAACAGTAAAAGGGAAGATACAACATTTGCAAATATGAAAAAAAAATGAAATAATCAAATTATCACGAAATGCCTTACTGAATTGTTAGGGAATGACAGTCTAAAGCATCCTGTAAAAACATGGCTTAGGGTGTGCTGACATTTTCAAGGACCAGCGTTGAAGAAAGCTAACTTTTTTCATAGACTGCTTCTAATTTTTTATATTTAGTTATTCTGCATTTCTTTTGCACATGATTACACACTTGTAAAGGTGTACAAACCTGCCGGACTGATTGTCTAACCTTACAATTTCCCAAAGTCCACATTTGAATACATTGCTTGTTTCATCTTAAATTGGGTTAGGGAACCAGACTGCAAGAACATGATTGGTTTCCTTGGTTTTTCCAGCATCTACAAGCCAAAAACTTGAAACAAATCAGTTTTTTTTTAATATTTGCTATGATCTACAAATGTACTAGTCTTCCAAATCCATTTATTTATGAAAATTATAGCAAAAGTAAATGTAGCATGCGCATCCCCTCTAACTGGTTTTAAAAAGATGTTCCAAAAGTTCAGATGCTTCTAATATCTTTACTTAGGCTACTTTTAAAGGGAATATACAGCATTTGCAAACATCGAAAAACAAAACTAACAACTTTTTACGAAATACCTTACTAGGATGTTGGTAAATGCCAGTCTAAAACATCCTGTAAACTTATGTTAAGTCATTTTCAACTATTTTTCAACTACTGCTCAAAATTTACAATTTTTTTTCTGTCCAAATTTTGTTTGCTATTGGTTACATGTTCATGAACGGGTGCAGGCTAGTTAAACTGGTTCCATTACCTTAATTTTCCGACATTTATACATTAATTCATTTCATCTTTAGTGGAGTCAAGGAACCAGACTACTTGAGCATTTTTGTTTTTCTTGATTTCCAGTATTTTCGAACACAAAACTTACAACATGTCAGTGTAACAATTATTTGATCTGTTAAACCAACCCCTCAAAATAGGTCATTTCTGAAAATTACAGCAACAGCCAATGATGACATTCCCTACAATTCGACCATTATTGCGTAAAATGAAAGGCCCTCTTTAGTTGTAGACCTGTGTGGTAAATAGTGAGTGAGTTAACCTGGGTAGGAGTTGTCTTAAAAGGCCACTGCGTCCTAAAATCCACACAATTTCCATGTTTTGGATTGTTTACTTATCCTATTTCAAACATGTGGTTGAAAGGAAACCAATCTCCCAGATAGCAAGCTTACGTTGGGCCAACGTAGGATTTAATTGTTGGCCCGATATCGGCGTGCCGCATTGGCCCGATTTGGATTTGCTCATCGGCACACGGTTGGGCCAACATGTTGGGTTGACGTTGGGCCAATCACTTATACAGAATGGCCAACCTTTGGCCATCGTTGGGCCAATGTCAACATTTAATGATTGGGCCAATGAGGCTTCAGCGATTGTTGGGTCGCAGTTGGGCCAACAGCGGACAAATCATGACTACTGATGGCCAACATTTGACCAAGGTTGGGCCAATACTAAAAATGCATGGTTGGGCCAATTGTGTTCAGCCGATTGTTGGGTCTCAGTTGGGCCAACCACGGGCCTACATAGAGCCTTCGTTGGATGACGGTTGGGGCAGGTAGGGTGTTTGGTTGGTGTAAGCGCACGTCGGTAGTTCTGAAAAGCCTCAGGTGCAAATAATTACACAAGGAGTTTTTTCCTTCACTTTTTACCACCTGCTTCAAGAGAGATTATTAAATGGTGTCACGATAAACTTTAGTTTTAGAAAGTTTCCCCCATCATGCAAAGTTTTACATAAAAATAACTTCAACAAGAACAGATACAAAAAGGGTGTTTTAAAAATTGGTAATTGTACTTTAAAGGCTTTGTTGGTTGCAGCCGACCTTAACGTTCTTGACTTTCACTTGGCTTTGGCAATCGGAAGCAAAAGCTTTCAGATGAAACTGTGAGGTTTTTTTTTTTTACTGTTATTCACTAAATACCAGTGTTTCAACTGCCAAATGAAAAATAAATCAGGCTTTATGCACCAACCCACACTGGCCATCACACAACTGATTGAAAAGCAAGACTTTGACAATTTTGGGGGTTCATCGCAAAAGTATCATAATTTCAACATATGGAATCCAGTAAAAAAAATAACACAGCAATGCTTTAAGATGTCATCTAAAAAAAACCAGCTTTTTTACCAAAGGCTTTTAAATAGGTCTCGTCATATTAACTGTTAAAATCAAGAATACCTCTTTTTATGAAACACTATTGAACAACCTTCATTCCCTGTCACTGCTGCTGTATTCCTCTGTGGATAGTTCATCAAGATTGGAAGGACTCTGGCTTGCTGCAGGCTCAGCTACAGCTAGCTGCGGCTGCTGCTCGTCTTGCTGCCCTGCCACCATCTCGGTCTTTCGAGTAGCGGAGCCACACTTTCATCACCTCGTCAATTTCGGCGTTTGTGGTTGACTGCACGGATGGGTTTCTTCGAACAGCTTTTCGAAAATAATTCACATTTTCCCCATCAATTTCAAAGTGATCATGAACAGAGATATTGGAAAGGCAGGATTTCAATAAGTTAGCTCCATGAGATTAAAACATACGGTCCAATCACTTACTGTGGATGACAGTGACAAGCCTCAGCTTGCAAAAAGCTTCCTTTGTTCCTTTGCCAACCCAGTTATACTGTCGTGCTAGGTCGTTGCTGATGACACATGCAAGGATTCTTCGTACGATGCTCTTTAGACTGTCTCCCCCGATGTTGGATAAGTATGCCACCTGAGCAGACAAATAAAACAACTCTTTTGCATGGTCTACAAGATTGAAACTTAAACGTTAAAGCAGAATGAGGTTTTGATTGTAATTGTTTTCAATCCTTTAAAGAAAATAAAAGTTAATGCATAAATAGCTATAAAAATGGAAGTGATGGCCCACCAATTGTTTCTCCTTCTCAAAGTTGTTAAGGGTAGTTTCAAGGTGTCGCATGTCCTTCACCAACTTTAAAGGAAGAACCACCTCCTCTGGAAGACCACTGGTTGAAGCTGTATTCCCCCTGCACATAGTTGTCAAGCTTTCTACAGATGCTGATGAGCATTGCCCTGTTCTCCGCTTGAAATATCTTGACCTCTTCAAGCATTGTCAATATTTTCTTTTCTGTTGCTATGTGCATAGACCGGGAAAAGACAAATGCATAACATAAAAAAACAAATAAATACAAGCTTAAAACAAAAATAAACTGTAAAAAAAAAATGAAATTCTATTAAGAAATTATCCCTTATGTTAAGCTGAGAAGCCATGTTTACGATATGACCGGACGAGAGTAAATAAAACATCCTTGATTACCTAGAACATTCAACCCAATTGTGAATGGTCAAGCAAACTAATGCATTTTCAGCTTGAACAAATAAGGTGTTACACTGTTTAATTAAGATCTATAAGGCATCACAATCAGTTAATCACTTTATTAACCCTAATTATCTGGGGTGTGTGCAAAATTGAATCAATTTTGGAGGATTCAGGACTGTGAAGTTAATATGAGTTGTTATGAGATGGACATGTCCGAAAGTCTTACATGTTGGGAACAAATGAATTTCATGACACCAAAATACCACTCTCTGCCCCCCCCCCCCCCAAAAAGGCCCCCAAAACACCGTTTTTTCCACTTTATAGAATGATTATAAAAAAAATACCTGTACAAACTGGAGCTGGCCACTGACTGATCAAGGATGAGGGTGGAGAAGGCAGTGCTCGAGGAGGCGTCTTTGGTGCAGAAGTTGCAGCTGGATGGTGCTTTTGTTGATTGCCTCGCTGAATGGTGTGTGATGGGCCTGGTCTATCCTCGTCAGAAGAGGAATCGCTATCTTGGTAACGTGGGTTTGGCCTAGAAATTTTGGTCAACAAAAAGTGAAACAGTCCATTGTGTCACATACTACCTCAATAGTGTAGCTTTACATTTACACAAGCTCAACTCAAATTAATCGACTCCTAGAATTGTTGTTAATATTCAATCAGCTGGAAACCGAACAGCAACTTTGTGTCTGGCCAGTGATGATAGTCACAGATGTCCCAGTCCAGCACACAAGATTGTGTTTGCACTTTCCAAACCAGTCGGTGTCAAGTATACAATTTGTTGTACAAATTCATGGAATTGTATCATGAGCTATGAAACTGTTAAGGAAAAGTACGATCTGAAACTATTCATTCCCATTCTCAAGACAAAAAAAAGCTGGAACACTTTTACTCACACCATCGGTCATAATGTATATTCAGTGAGCTATTTGACTGAGACTACTCAAATTTTGTTTTATGAAAGTTTCATAACCTACCTAAAATTAGTTTGAATCATTACCTTGACTTCCTCTTCACAGGGATACCAGCACATTCAGCATCTGTGGCCAAATCTGAAATGTCCTCTGCCTTCCTCACTTTTGCCAAGCCTTTTTCATATGAGCCTTCAAAAATAAAACATCAAAAGAAATATAAATGCTATGCCAGCATCAATAGTTTGTCTATACATATTTTGTAAAAGTTGCCTAGCAAAACACTTCCTGAATTATCAATTTTGGACACTAGGCTTAAGCCCCCTCTACCCACAAGTGAAAGACCATTTTGAAACCATTTGCAATTTCATTCAAACGAACCACCTTTCTCTAGATCAAGGTATAAACATGCGTTTATGATCAATTCAGTGTGTAAATGCTCTTGAGTGATGAAACTGGGGGCTACACAACATTTCTAGAAGGATTTTAAGAGAGGAATGTGCAAACAGCTACATTTTGAAAGTGGGGGCTAATTAAAACATGTGAAGCATAATGAACTGCATCTTCCCTGTTTAAAACTTACTAGTTTTGTACAAAACACGGCATGGAAACTTCTGATATCCATCTGTTGGTGGTTCACGTTTCTTCACTGCCTTGTCTACTCTCGTCTGTGACTTATAAGGCGGCCACATTACAGATGTCTCATTGTCCACCAACCAGCTCTCTGCTGCTAATGCAACCGACTGCTCTCCAACAAACTCGACCACTGCATAGATACTTGACATAATACAATCATCCTCAATTAGATTGAGGATATTTACACGTTTGCTTCTTCAGATATTTTGAACGCATCAATTTCTAAAAACCATGCTTTTCGAGATGAGATTAAAAAGTACAAATTTTAAGGAAAAGTTCATTGAAACTATAAAAAAAGAAAAAAATCAAATTTAGAAATTAACAGTGGTCAAAAAGTACTTTTGATGCATCTACTTACTGAAACTAATGTAACTTTGATGTGAAAATGTCAGTTGCAGAATTCAAAAGACCTGGTGATTTAATGCTACAACTAAGTGGGCCCTTCTGTAAGGGAATATTGCACACTTGCATCTAATATCTGCCATGGAGCATGAATGCAGTACACCATCTAGTCTTTTTACCTTGTGTATGCCAAGACAGCCCGATGGCAATGGGGTCATGAAGTAATTATCTACCACTTTGAAAAGTTCATAGATGACAGTTATCTGGCCATCCAACAAAATGTTGCGAACTATCCCAACGCCATCATCAACTTTAATGCAACTGTCCCTCCAAGTTAATGAGATGATACATGAGCTTAAGTGAAGCTCTTTGTACTGCTTAGTACTGTGGGGTTAGATAAACTGAGGTAAAGGACCCTCCGAGTGCTCTCTTTTTACACAAGGCTGCTTGTTTTTGTCACATGAATGTGCCAGTCTGTCTTCCGAAAGCCGACGCACAACCTGCACAAGAGGATATGATGGTTTCCTTACCAGTTATTTTATTTTCTGGAGAAAGTTTTCGAATGGAAAACTTGAAATATTGTCCAGAGTCCCAAACTGCATTATTTATTATATAATTCATTATTTATTATTTAATTCATTATTTATTATATAATGCATTATTTATTATATAATGCGTTATTTATTATATAATGCGTTATTTATTATATAATGCATTATTTATTATATAATGCATTATTTATTATATAATTGTGCGCCCGAAGCGAACGAGGCTATGATTTGTAAATAATGGTTTTCAGCAAACGAGGGAACCAGACTACAGCAAAACCATTATATATTATATAATGGTTTTCTGAGCTAAATAATGAAACTCGCAGGCAAATTAACTTGACTAGGACACACCTATGTTTTAAATATTCATATCACATAGCGCACCAATACACCGCACTTGCTATAAAAAAAACACACGCAGTATTGTGTATTTTGGGTATTGTGGGTCTGAATTTTTGTTATTTGCGCCCTGAAAGTACTGGAAAAGACTCTCAAATGCTGAAAACTAGCGTATTTCAGGTCAACGATTCTTAAAAATTACGGAGAAATTAGCTATGCACAACGCTCACGCTAGCTAGCTACTGAAAAACTGGGCATTTGTCTGCTTCAAAAGCTTTGCAAAACACAGCAGTGAGGCGTGTACATGTACATCTAACTGGGTGTAATGTATGAGGAAAAAGAATGATTTTTTTTTACAAAGTGATCCGGGACAAGCTTTTGCATAGTGACACCATCTTAGTGCCGTTCTCATCCACTGAAATCAGTGCACTGGTGTTGTGACATATGTCTCTTATAAACTAAGCAAAAGCTTTAAGTTTCTAGTCTTCAGTCTGGAGAATTCAATTGTTGCCGTTTACGAGCAAAAGTGTACCAGATTTTATTAAAATGTAACTTTTTCACTGCATAATGAAAGACCCTTTTCATTTTGAGGCAAAGGGACTAAGGCCAAAAAAAAAAGTCTCCGGTTTCTGGTATGGAGCTTGCCCAAAAAGTGGTGCGGCGACGCGGCTTTTTTTTGTTAACCTGATTTTTTTTTGCTTCAAATGTCGGCTGATGACTGCAAATGGTGCCCGACTAAACTTAGTGCAAATATATGGGAGTCCAGAGAGGCCACATAAAGCTTATTCTCGATTATAACCCCCTCTACAAACATGTTAAAATTGTGCAGCAGCAGAATTCCAGTCAAACCAGTGAGTTTGGCGGTTTTGAGACATCATCTTTCATTGAAAAAAAAACTTTTTCATTTTGCCGATGCGCATGGCTACGGCGACGCGCGCGCATACCAGTAACCGGAGACTTTTTTCTTTGGCCTAATCCTGAAAGGTGCATTTTTAATTACCAAGTAGCACATTGCCAGGCTTGATGTCTCGATGCAGAATACCAATGTTATGCAGTTCCTGGAGACCTCTTAGAAACTCAAGGCAGAACCGTTTGCGCATGTCATCAGTCAAAGATTCATGTAGGTATGGAGTTTTGTCTTCTATGATTTCCTGCAGGTTAGCTTGACATAACTCTGTGACAAAGTAGATGAAGTCTTCGTCTTTCTCGATGACAAGTGGCTTGAGCACAATTCTTGTTTTGCAGACACTGGAACATTTCCCCTTCTCTTCCTACAAAATCAGAGTTGACTCTCTTCACTGCGACTGCTTTCCCAAAAAACTTCCCAACATTTTTTGTTGATTTGCTGAATTTTATTGAGCCAACCTGTTTGGTTCCTGTACCTTCTTCCAGCTGCAAGAGTTGATCTGCCCATCTTTGATTCTTGAAAAAAAAAACAACTTAAAATTAGAGAAAGTTAAATGTACCGTTTTAGTCAAAAAAGAAAACTTTGAAAACTGTCCTATAAGTGACAGTTACATGTCTATGTTCATGTACATTTAATGTTCATGTAAATACATGGAACAAGTCACAAGATCGTGTATTAAAGCTTGTATTATTCAAGCCGGTATCCCATGCTAGGCTTGCATGGATTCGCCAGTGCATGGACTGAACCGGCATTCCTTAAACAATGCTGTACGTACAAGTACATATGTACATGTAGATGCCACTGCACTTGCAGAGCGTCAACCATGGTTCATGGGCTGAAAAATTTGTAAAGGCAGGGAAGGAATTTAACGACGGCCATTGCCGTCGATGCCTTTTTAATTGCCTTGATGCCCCGAGAAAATAGCAGTTTCCACGGCCAGTTTTGCAATGCCCTTGTACTTTGGCAGCAGTGCCCTTTTCATTAAAAAAACCCAGACATTTAGAGCCTACTTTCTGTTGATCAGCATTCTGCAGGATGTTCTGCACTCACGAGTGACAGCCAGGGTAAAACTTGAAGCGCTTTCCCTGGCCATGCATGCTGGCCCCCAAATTACGCTGCCCGCAGGCCCCTCACTCGTCGTACAACCATCATGCAGTATCGATGCATTCAGCCTCGATACACGGTCAACTATCCAAACGCTGTCGTTGCACGTCAATAACACCCTCACATCTAGCCCCATAAATGTGGCCTATTTACTGGACTGCCTCCGTAAACATAGGCCACACATCCACATGTACAAAAACGTGTCGCACTTTGCCAAATTTTGATTTTCACATTTAGGCTTAGTTTGTAGGGGTTTTTTTTGCTTTAGAAGCATACTCACCCTATTTTTAGGCTAATCAGAAAGTGCTGCCTTTTTCAGATGTCTAATTTTTGTGAAATTTTATTTTCAAATTTTGATACGCAAACGTGTGCAAATGAATCTGGAAATTTCACGAAAAATAGACATCCGAAAAAGGCAGCACTTTCTGATTATCCTATAAAGAGGGTGAGTATGCTTCTAAAGCAAAAAAATTTACAAATTAAGCCTAAATGTGAAAATCTAAATTTGGCAAAGTGCGACACATTTTTGTACATGTGGATGTGTGGCCTATGTTTACGGAGGCAGTCCAGTAAACAGGCCACATTTATGGGGCTACCTCACATCATAAAATGTGTCTTGTAAATATTCGTGTATTATGGGCATAAAGGTAATTTGTCTAGGATAAACTGGAGGATAAATGTCTTATCCGTGTACAGTTTTCAGGTTTAACTGAATCAGATTGGATCACGGAGGGTATACGTGTGCGCACATGGTGCGTTATTGAGTGGATGCCTGTGTGTTCTTAAAAAGAAAACTCGAAAATGCAGATCGATCAACCATGGATCAACTTGTCCTTTTCAGAGAATAATACCGGGTATATCAAATTATTCACACAAATTCCACTTTTGGTTCCTTTCTTAGCACAGCTTTGATTAAAAAATACAAGGCGTGCTTGAAAATTTTGCACCGTGCACATTCCAATTTAGATTTATGGAATATTAATAGATCCCAAACATGCTTATTTCTTAATACCAGTTATACAGTTTTTCTAAAATTGTACTTAATCGAATTAATTAATTAAAGTTCATCTGTAACCCCGTGCACATTCCAATTTAGATTTATGGAATATTAATAGATCCCAAAAATGCTTATTTCTTAATACCAGTTATACAGTATTTCTAAAATTGTACTTAATCGAATTAATTAATTAAAGTTCATCTGTAACACCGTGCACATTCCAATTTAGATTTATGGAATATTAATAGATCCCAAACATGCTTATTTCTTAATACCAGTTATACAGTATTTCTAAAATTGTACTTAATCGAATTAATTAATTAAAGTTCATCTGTAACCCCGTGCACATTCCAATTTAGATTTATGGAATATTAATAGATTCCAACATGCTTATTACTTAGTAACAGATACAGTATATCTAGGTTTATTGTATATGCCAACTCCAAATACCCCATTAATATTGCCCACGAAAAATAATTGTAACATTTATTAATGCGGTTATTCCACATTTAAGTAAATTTTAATGTTGAAGAAACAGATAAAAACATCGAAATAGATCACATTAATCCATGGCAAGTGGGTATATACATTTTCCCTCACTTTAGGTTTGGGGTAGAGAAGAGCTGTTGATCTCCACACCATACACACGATAATACATCATTTGCTTTTGCTGTAATTTTCAGAAATGGATGGAATTTGGGGGTTGGAAATATATAGCAAATATAGTTACACTGACTTTTTTGAGGTTTCGGGTTCAAAAATGCTATAAAAACCAAGAAAAACAATCATTTTCCTGTAGTCTGGTCCCCTGACTCCATATAAGAAGAAACAGCAGTTTACATACATTGGGGAATTGTAATGTCAGGGAACCAGTCTAGCTGGCTTGTACCCGTTCATAGGTGTGTAATCGATTGTAAACAAGTGTGATGGTCAATTGGGGCCAGTATTTGAAAAAAGGCAGTTTTTTCCAGATACAAAAATTCCACTTTTCTTGAAAATGACAGTATACCAGGTGCCATGATTTTACAGGATGCTTTACACT